TGTTAATTGATTGACGTTAGTTTTTAATTTGTTTATAGTCCCCCCCATATAGCATAAGGTGCAGTGTAGGTGGCAGTTTAACATTAAAATGGATCCACCACCCCCGTAAACACATTACAATTAATCGAGCAATTACTTAAACCGGTCAAAACTCGTCGAATCTTTTGATGGTGAATATCGTTTACGACTAATCGAAACACCCTGTATATCTGAAGTTTTTCAATATACATATTATGAGTAAATGGAGGGGGGGGGGGAAGAATTGTTTGTAACTGCGTATTGTTTATATAGATTTGTTTATTTAATGGTAATACGTGAAATTGCGTGTTAAAATGAAGGCACATCTGGTAGTTTGCGATAATAGGTTTTGTTGTCGGGCGAGTTTTAATTATTAATCAAGGCACCTGTTTTGTTATCGCTGTTAGAAGAGAAACGAGTATGCAGGTGTTATGATTTTTCCTTGTAGCAGATGCCGGAAGTGTATGAGGAGAGATTATAAAAATTCTAAGTTTCAATTTTGATTTGTTTGTGTAAAATTTTTTGAAAAGGTGTAAAAACGATATTTTGGAACATTAAAAAAAACTATGAAATATTTCTGTCGTGATGGAAGCGTAAAGGAAATGTTTCATAAATGTGTTCCTTTCAGTTTCTTAATTTTTTTCCAAAAATTTAAAAATCCTTTCAACATTTCAGGGTCATTTTGAAATTTTTTTTAATTTCGCACATTTCCCAAATGTCTAGCAATATTTTAAACATTTAAAACATTGTGGATGCATTGCAATGTTTTAGAAACGTAGAAAATGTTACATAGATAAAAAACGATATTTTGGAAGATTTAGAAAAGTTAAGAAATATTTCAGAAGTTTTGGAAATGTGTAAAAAAATTAAAAAACGCATCGAAACTGTTTGGCAATTTTGAAAATGGAAACAAGAATTTTTAAAACGTAGAAAATTTTGAAAAGGTGTAAAAACGATCTTTTGGAATGAAGAAATATTTCAGAAATGATGGAAATGGGAGGGAAATGTTTCAAGTGATGGAAATGTGTGAGAAAATTGAGAAATGTTTAAGGCATTTTGGAAATGATTTTTCAAGAATTTAAAAAATGATTGGATATGATTTAGAAACGTGTAGAAAATTCTAAAAAGTCAACATCGAGGTTAACATTTTACTTTACAAAGTTTTTCATTCCGCCATCTCTCCCCTTCTTTTCACAATGGCACAAATTGCAAAAACAATGCCCACAAAGCTTCTCAATGTACAAAAAATAAATCGATTTGAATACTAAAAATGCGCTAAATAAAGACTTCACTAGAAGCATTACAAAAATACTAATTCATTAGAACAACGATATTTAAAGAATTAAAAAAAAATAGTTGACTTACCAAAAAATACTGACATGACCAAAAACTTACCGAATGTATTAAAAAATAGTAAAATCGCCACAATAAACAATCTCAAATGTTAAAAAATTACTAAAATTACTACAATAAACAAATAAATATTTAATCATTTTAAACGAGATTTAAAATTTTCAAACAAAAAAGCGGTATAACAAATAAAAAATCTCAAATTTTCAAACACAAAATAGAATCAACAAAAAATTACTTACCGAAATTACCAAAAACTTACTGAAAATGTATTCTCAATCAAAAAATAGCGGAATTACAAAAAATTACTGAAATGACCAAACATTTACTGGATATGAAACATATAGGTACTAAAATTACCACAAAAAACAAATACTTAGATATTATTAATTTCAAATTTTCACAAAACAACAGCGGAATAGCAAACACAGCAAATTTAAAAAAAATATCGGAATTACCAAAAAAATACTGAATATGAAAAAAATACTAAAGTTTCCACAATAACGAATCTTAAATTTTCAAAAAAATAGCGAAAAAACCAAATAATTATTGAAATAAAAAAAATGTACTGAATATGTAAAAAAATTACAATTACCACAATAAACATAATTTCAAATTTAAAAAAAAAGGCGGAATAACAAAAAAACAATCCCCGATTTACAAATTACGGAATTACCAAAAAAATTACTGAAATGACCAAAAATTTACTGGATATAAAAAATCGAGTAAAAAATACTAAAATTGCCCTGGATTACTGGATAAATAATCTTAATTTACAATTTCAAAAAAAAAAACAACAGCGGAATAACAAATAAACAAACTCAATTTTTCAAAAAATTACCAAAAACTTACTGAAATTAAGTACTAAAAAATTATTACTGAATATGTAAAAAATTAATAGTTTCCACAGTAAATAAATTCAAATTTTCAAAAAAATAGCGGAATTACAAAAAAGTTACTGAAATAAAATATGTAAAAAATTACAATTACCACAATAATCCGAAGTACCATCAACCCCAATTATCTCGGATTATCGAGACTACTTCAATCATTTCATATTTTCAAAAAAAAAACAGCACAATAACTAGTGAACAATCCTACATTAAAAAAACAAGTTGTAAATCAGCATATGCATGATTAAAGCGCATTTTTGGTAATGCAGGTCAGTATTTTATTAGCGAAGTTTAAAATTATCGATCTCACGAGTAATTTTGGCTGCGTTATTTAATTTCAATTGACGGTACGTCTTCATTTTGTAAAACAAATCACAAAGTAAATAATAAGTTTTTATACTGGTAGCGCTATCTAACGGTAAAATTATAGCACCTCCGAAACCCATATCGAAATTATTTTCTTCAATTATCGATCTCACAAGTAATCTAACTCAAAATAGACTAGTGCCTGCACATCTACACTATAGCAGAAAGCTTTTAGTGAAAATTTGAATTCTCTAGCTATTGTAGTTGTTGAGATCTCACGCGGACAGCCGGCCTGCCAGCAATAACGAATATAATAGCGTATTTTATTCAAAAATGCGCTAAAAATAATAGCGGCATTACCAAAAACTTACTGAATATCTAAAAAGATAATGAAATTTCCAAAATAAATAATCTCAAATTTAAAAAAAAAGAGCGGAATTATCAAAAACTTATGGAAAGTACCAAAAACGTAATAAAAATGTAAAAAATAACTTAAATTACCAAGAAATTACTAAAATTACAAACATTTCCTAGTATGGTCCACATTTTTATGAAAATCGCTGTTCCTTGACCAAATTATACGGAAAAACGGGAAATGGGGAATGGTCAATAAGAGTTCGTCCTCGAGTTCGTCCTTAAGGAAAATATAGCAAACGAGCTTCTGGGTTTGGTCGAGGGTTTGGTATACCTTGGCATTGCGTATTAAATGGCTAAAGCTATGCTCATTTTGAATTTCATGCAATTCGGTTCATAACTAACGCGAGATGTCAGAACTCAGAAGGGCCTCTGATCTGCAAATTTGATAAAGAATCCACCTGCAAAATTTCATCGTAGTCGGTCCAATCGTTTTTGAGAAAAGTATTTTGAAAATGGACAGACGGACGGACGGAGACACCGCAAAATTGTGAATTCGTTAGGAGCTCGTTAACAAGCGGGTAATGGCGTAGATTTTGAAATGAAGGGTAAGTTGCGCTTAATTCTAAATTTTCCACTTCTGTTTTTAGTATTTTTACATCTCATTCTCGCTCCAGTCATATCCTAAAGACCTCGCTAAAGGCCTAAACCATTTGTCGACTTCAAAGTGAGTTGGGAGAGGGGAGGAAGCAGTAGGTTAATAACTTTATTTTATAGCACATGTTAAAATGACAATTTAATAGGTTTGAATGAGTAGGCCGTTCTTTAACTGTAAGGATAGATAAAGTGAAACAAATGATTGTGCATTCTAATGACATATCTGTCATCCTTACTTCAAATGCACGATATAAAATGACGTTCAGAACACATAATTATATCAATTATGTTTCTATGCAAACGATCGCGATGGTAGAACCTAAGCTTGCTATTTTTGACGTCTCTAAATTAAATTCAAAATCGTCAGAAGCTTTACAATGATTTATATGGCTTCTGCTATAGAATAAAGTTGACTCACTCAACATCTTTCAATCAATGGTTAAACTGTCCCTTTAATAATATAATAATAATAAATAGCTATGAACATCTTACAACTGTTGGAAAAGTTTCATTTGTGTGGAATTTCTGGCGTACTTACCCACCTTTCATTGAATTTAAGTAATAGGTAACTGAAATAGGGTTGTTAGGTGTATTACAGAAACCAGGAGTTTGATGTGCAGGTCTGTGGGTAGTTCCCCCACCGCTTTACAATACATTAAATATGCATTTGCGATTTCTTTCCATCAAGTGGCACCTGTCGCATTCTGAACTTCTCCCCAGACGATTCCCTCGGAATCTCTCACCACGAGACTTACCTGCCCTTTACAGTTCTGACGTATCAATGACGTCACCTTCGTACCGAGGACCTTTAAATTTTTACTAAACAAACAACGATTTCCATTATACTCCCATTCGGGCAAGATCAGTAAAAGGGTTCGCGATGGAAAATTACACGCGAACATCTGTAAGAGGCGGGTACCGTCTGCGAAAATCGGTTATAAATAGCTTTTGGGAGAAAGTCAAATCGTCTAAGAATTCTATAATAATTAATCGAGAATGCTACGATTGACGTAAATATCCAGACATAATAAAAATAAACCCGACCGAAAATAATACCGACATTTATATTAATGTTTACACACAAAAAAATACGGTTAATTAGCCGACCGCGAGTCTATTTTCGATGGCTTCCCCGCCGTTTTAAAATGACCAAGGGGGTTAAGTTTGTTTTTAATTGTTACGTCATAAGTAACGAACGGTAATTAGATGCGTACCGTTGCGACTGTGACCTACAGCTCACAGATCGCCTTTTTGCACCTACACCTGAGATTACCCCCGCAATTTATTGCCAATGCAATGCCTCCTAAGGGAGACCGACGACAAATAGTGCGGGGTGCCCTAGTTTCGCAGACACCCTCTCATTTAAATAACTACAATGCGGTTTTGTCGAGAGTAAAATTAACGTTTAGGCCATAAACTTACTTGGTTGCCTCTGTTGGAGGTGAAGCAGAAGTGAATCACTTTATGTTTTTTAAATCATGCTTATTGCTGAGAAGGTGATCGAAAGAGTTCTCGTAATACGCAGGCGACTACCGGAAACGGTTAAGGAATCGCAAATCGGCACATTTACACAAATACAGATTGAGGCGACGGTTGTATTTCACTCACTTTTGACAACTTCACTTTAATTATTATTATTGAATGGTACTGTACTGTAAGTACTGCCCGCAGCGACGCTAAACGCTACGTACGGTGAACTACAGACAAACCCAAAACACGTACACGAAACTGGCACGAGTTCGGCCGAAGGTCACTTCGTTACCGTTTCGATAACCAACAAAGCACGTTATTGATCGTTGCGGACTGGTGGCGTACTCTGTCGGGCGATCTTGTACATAAAAGTCAAACAAGTACTGCCTTCTGATTCCCACTTCACTGTATAGTGGAACTCTGGAAGCACAGGTAGCAGCACAGTCAGAGAGTAATTGGCGCTGTTTGAATGACAAAAATGAAAGATCAAGAATGAATGCCTTTTGTGCTTATGATTTCAGGATTGTCACTTTTTAGTACTTTAAGAGCAATATACTATACTTTTCGTTAGAACATGGGGTACCTAGCCTAGAGGGAATTTTATAAATAGAGGGCCCAAAATAGTTTGTGGGTCACTATCCTTTATAATACACAAAATGATATCGTAATTTTTCATACCTCCCCGAGCCCTTCAGACTAATCTTTCAGAAATAAGTCGACTTTCCATGAATTTTGGAGACAATATAGTTTTTGCCAGTTGCCAATGTCTTTGCTATATTTTCTGGGAGTTTTCCACTGTCCTATCATGGGCAAAAGTAATGATTCGCATACCATCGTAAGAATTCGAGCATAGTAATGGCGCAAAATGATTACTTCCAATGTTGTAAAAGTAATAATCAATTTTCTGCATACTATCTGATTTATTGTTAGTCAGCCATTCTACGAATACAAGCTACGAACTTATTTGCACACTTCTTGCCATTGAAATGGTTAATTGTTTCATTTATAAAGGCAATGCTATTTTACTTATTTTTTTTTGTTTAGAAATTTATGGAATGCAATTGTGGAATGAACCTTGAAATCCGTTCTTGAGGTATAAGGGAATATACTCGATCACAATAAGAGGTAGAGGAGGAAGGCTATGATTGGTAGAAATTAATTCCTTTCGTTGAGATCTTTCATTAGAGTACCATGAAGGATAAAATTAGTTCCACTCCCCCCGCCCTCCCTTCCACTTTAACCCGTACTTTGATAAGAGGACAGAAAGAAGGGCAGCAGTTGGTAGAAAATGGTTCCTTTTGTTGAGACCTTTCATTGGAGTACCATGAAGGATAAAATTAGTTCCACTCCCCCCGCCCCCTCTCCCACTTTAGCCCGTACTTTGATAAGAGGACAGAAAGAAGGGCAGTAGTTGGTAGAAAACGGTTCCATTCGTTGAGACCTTTAATTAGAATACAATGAGAGATAAAATTAATTTTTAAAAACAAAGAAATAATTTTTTATTTATGGTCCGTGCGCGAGTGCATCATCTTGTTGACACCAACAGTTTCCCGCCTCTGTTTTTTAGCGCATTTTTTAAGAATGAAAAAAATGTGCTATTGTTTGCGTTTTATCCGTCCGTCCGTCCGTCCGGACACACTTCTACCGTTTTGAACTACTTCTAGAGGGGAATGGTCCTAGAGTCCTGGAATTTTTTTGCAGTAGGTAGCCTATACCTTGAAGGTGTGCCAGACGGCCATCAAATTTCGGTGTTTAAAAGGGCCCCCCCCCCCCCCCCATGAATTATTTCCTGAGATGCTGTTTTTGAAAGTAAAACGTGCATAACTTTTACATACGTCAACCAATTGGTCTCAGATTTTGCATACGCATGCCTATAGTGGTGCCAAGTTAAACTTTAGAAAATGGGGGAGGGGGTAAACACATGTTCTACCCTTCATGGTATTCTAATGAAAGGTCTCATCGAAATAAATTGGTTTGTACAAACTATAACTTCCCCGTGCGACTCTTTTTTGAGATCAGTGAGCGACGGGGTTAAAAATTTTATCTCTCATTGTCTCAGCGAACAGTTTTCTACAAACTACTGCTCTTTTTTCTGTCTTCTTATCAAAGTACGTGGTGGAGGGGGGGAGTGAAACTAGTTTTATCCTTCATGGTACTCTAATGAAAAGTCTCAACGAAAGGAATGAACTTATACTAACCATAGTCTTCCTCCTTGATCCGTTGTCGTGATCGGTTATAATTCCTTATATCTTAAGAGTGAATTGTCAAAGGAAAGGTTTCAAAAGTTCGTTTTGCGCATGCGCTGTGCCAACTTTCTTATTCATGGAAGAAATTTCGTAGGGATGTTTAAAAAAAATGCGCTTTACCTGCACAAGGGTTGTGCACATTTGTAGGTACTTGTTTGTTTGTGTGGGGTTGATATATCGTTGTGTTCGTAATAAAAAAATCTACTCCAATACAGCGTGTACTTTTTTTACGATTCATATAAAGAAATAAAGTTGATGAGAGTGAATATTTCTTCAAAACGAAACGTTTTTTTTTGAAAATCTCTGAACGTCGACTTGTACCGCTCAAAAAATGACAATGAGTGAGTGTTTTTAATTTTTCTGTATGTGCTCAAATAATATCAGAAAAAAAATAAATAGGCAAACTTCGGTTTTGTTTAAAGTATGGTAATCTTTAATACCTACTCTTTAATTGTCTATCTTTTCTCTAATTTGACCATCGTCGTATCTTCTATGGTTTCGGAGATCCCCATGATAGACGGACACAGTGTACGTATGTGTCATAAGAGATTTAAAAGGCAGTAGGAGCGAACTGAAAAATAACTGTTTTGCTTTTTTACGCATTTTTTAGAATTAAAAAAGGGGAATTGTCCTAGAGTCTTGGAATTTTCTGCAATTAGTAGCCTCTATATCCTGAGATGCTGTTTTTGAAAGTAAAACTTGTATAACGTTTCACATGCGACAACCAATTGCTCTCAGATTTTGCATACGCATGTCTTTAGTGGTTTGATGATGGGATGGGGGGGGGGGGGAGAGGTTATCATACCTTCTTCATGGTATTCCAATGAAAGGTCTCGCGACTCGCTTTTCAGATCGGTTTGCCACGAACTTCGGTTGTTCGCATACAATCGGTGGGTTTAAATTAAAAGGTATGATTACTGATTAGTTGGTTAAATCCAAAAAAATAAAGTTTAATTAATTACAGAGAAAATATACACAATTAAATATAACTATATACTATACAGGGTGCCCATTATGTATGGAATATACTATCTCGGTAAATATCGACTGTATACAAAATTTTCCATAATAAGGTCTCATTCCATTGTTTTTATTTCAGAAAACAAATGAATATGGCAAACAATTAATTTTTTTTAAATAGCAATGCACACTTTCATTACGCTCATTTAATAGAGATTTTTCTTCTCTTTCCAACGACGTACCATGTTAGCACCCGTGTAGAAGAAATAAATTTTTTTTTTCAAGCTTTTGGCGATAGAATGGTGAACATTTTGAACATTCATTGCGCTGAAAACCATTTTACATTTCGTTTTGTCTTCCAAGGTTTAATAAGAAACATACACGTTCATTTGTTTCATTTTGATGTAGGATATCTGGATTAATGTTAGGTATTGATAATAGTAAATTTTTTGAAAAATTTTCTTTAATACGAGTAGATACTAATATGTTATATCATTGAAAAGAGAAAAAAAATCTCTATCAAATGAGCTTAACGAAAAGGTGCACTGCCATTTAAAAAAATTCAATTGTTTTTCGTTACTCATTTGTTTTCTGAAATAAAAACAACTGAATGCTGCCTTATTATGGAAATTAAGTGTTAAACGAGTTTCATATAGAAAATTTTTGGATACATTCGATATTTACGGAGATATATCTCCACTATACTCCATACATAATGGGCACCCTGTATACTATGAATCAACTTCTTTATTTAATTCCCAGGCTCCCGGGCGGCCTAAAAATCCAAGACATATCTCAAAATCTCAGTTAATTAAGCGAACTTCTAATGCAATAGGCAAAATAAATAAGTTTACAAGCTGTGTTCTGCCAACTACCGCTTTTCTCTCTTACCCCTTATCAGAATAGGGAGTTGGGGGTTTCGTGGTACTCTAATCAAAGGTCTCAAAGAAAGGAATTAATTTCGACAAACCGCGGTCCTCTTCCTCGAACCTTTATCGTGATCGGTTATAATTCCTAATATCTCAAGAGCGGATTGTCGGGACGGAAGGTACTCATAGAGGGCGATTGGGATATACCTACTGGTCATTTCAAAACTTTAACAGCGAGTATCTCGAAAAGGTTTTGTCGTATTTCACTCAGTTAGGAGACTTTCGTTATTTAATATTGAACTCAACAAACTGGACTACCTTCTATCTCTCTTTTTACGATATTCTAAACTACCATTTAGTCGTCCAACCTTGGAAACTGGGATCCCTTATAACTAGTATTTGAAGAAATGGAAATTAACTCATTGAAATTGAACCCGAGCTCGTAGCGGAAGGAGGCATTTTCAAACTCCTACTGAATACATGGCGTTGCATAATCTAATGACCGAGTAGATGCGGAGATTATTAATTGTACACCAAAGCGGTCTAAGGGGATGTTTAAATGCGTAATCGCTTGAACAAAATAGTCATTCTTTACTGAGTTGGTTTAGATTGCCACGTTAAAGTTTTTTCGATTTGATGTTGCGGAATATTATAAAAACTCCAACGGCTTGAAATTGGACTTTTCGTGAACCGAACAGTTTTTCTTTCAATCTATGAATATCGAATTAACTGATTTTTTAGTCGATATGTAATCACATGTTGTGCACTACCTTTTCCTTGCGTAAGCCACAAAATTAACGTAATTCTAAATCCGTTTCTAATTGTTTGGACACCCCGTGGAAATCTTCTAATCACCGAGCTAATCACCATAGTTTCATGGCGTCCTGTGATTTCATGTTTACGAACAAACCCACTACCCACGTGCAAAATATCGCATTCGCTCGAAAAACGTAGATTCCCAATTGATGGTTAATCGCAGAAACTTCTAAAAGATTTTGAACCGCATCCTGTGGCTCAAAAACGAATATCGAGCTGAGCTCTTTGACGACTCAAAACCAAATATTTTAAAATCTTTACTTACAAGAAACCGACAGACCGACAGACCGATATCATAGAGATTCGAGAATACGATTATGCACTTGTGGACTCATAGTAAATAGTTGTATAAAATCGCAAGATCAAATTTCTTAACGGGATGAATATCATTAAAGGTACCTACCGTCTGCTGTACTCTTTGATGTAATATTCAAAGAGAATGATTTTCTTGCAGAATAATAACGAGTGGGCTCGACAAATTTGCAACTGTGTAGGTACCTTCATAAAGATGGTCATTTGTTTAGCTCAATATGTCAAATCACATTTGAAAATGTCCAAAATGGGAAATTAGTGGGTAGATAACTTTTGGCAATTCAGAATGTTTATAACGTGCGCTAAATTTTTTCGTCGTCAAACCATTCAGTCGCAGTTATTCAACCGAACTGTAACTGTTTGTAGCCTAAAACCCATCGACCAATCTAGGAATTTGTCTGATTCGAAATGTCTTCGGCCCGGAAAAGTTTTGTAAGTGCTACTTACTTCTTCTAATGGAATGCCAAACGTCCAATTACAGAGAGAACAAAAATTGCCAGATGGATGTCGGTTGTAAGGTCGCCATTGTGAATGGGGGAGCCTCGGGGATTGGACTCGCTGCCGCCAGTCAACTACTATGTGCAGGAGCTCGAAATGTAGCGATAACTGGCGATGACCTAATTTCTGGGAAGGAGGCCGAAAAGTTTTTGAATAGTACATATGGCATGGGAAAAGCAATGTTCATTAACTGTAACATTAATTGCACAGCCCAATTTGAAGGTGCGGATCTAATTGTTCCACTCGTGAAATAAATGGAAACCTTTCAGATGCGTTTCGCATAGCTCATACTGTTTACAAACAACTAGACATAGTAGTGAATACTGCTGGAGTTTTGGATGGATCACACTGGGAACGCGAAATTGTTACGAATATTGTAATGTAAGTCTGGGTCGACAAATACGTTAAGGGTTTGTTGCAGATTGGAACAATACGAGGGACTCTACTGGCGTACCACTACACTGGGAAAGAAGGGTTGGGGAAGGGAGGAGTGGTGATTAATATAGCTGGAATAAACGGATTCGACGCCCTGCCTCCAGCCCCAACACTGAGCGCGGCGCAGCACGCCATTGTAGGCCTGTGCAAAAGTTTCGGAACAGACACGCACACGGCAAAATCGGGAGTCAGGGTGGTCTGTCTTTGTCCCGGATTCACTTCGACGAGCTTTACGAAGAACGCTACCGGTAAAGGGATGACAGAGCTGTTGGGGAGAGAGCTGGAGACGTTCATCAACAAGGCGAAGAAGCAGGGACCGGATCCGTGCGGACATGCAGTTGTTCATCTAGTGAAGTACGGTGAAAATGGATCCGTGTGGGTGTGTGAGGGAGCAAAACTGTATTCCTTGCAAATACCGCACAGGAAGGCTTACAGTACGTTGATTGCGCAATATTTGTAAGGAGTCCTTGTTAATAAATCCATCGACTTAGACACCAACTTTTGTTCCATTAACGATATTGAATCTCTCAATCAAAATAAGAGGTTCTATGTATGCCATACAGATAAAAAACAAGCAGACATAAATATGCACATTCTTCTTAGGGAAAGAAATTGGTTGTATAAACATAAAATTCTTCTGTAGATACGTGTGCTTGTGACTGTACTCCTCCTAAACTGGATTTGGATTTTGCACCTACCAGCTTTTCTTCTGCTTTTGCAACAAGCCATTGAATGAACCTTTTTCAACAGGTGAACGACCGATCTTTCCTTGAACTCTCATCAATCCTTCATCATCCCATCCAACTCTATTCTGTCACACCTGCTGAAGTAGCATTTTGCCCTTGACCAGGAAATGCCCCACAAAGCAAGAGGATCGAACGCAGACATGACGACACTCAGCAGTTTCCTCCTTATTCGTTCAATGGGTTTTCCATTTCAGACATGAACAAGGAAATCTGATTTGTACTTACCTTGCTAGGGTTTTGACCATCCTAACTTGCAACTTGATATCTCTTGGAATGATGAGATTAATATTGTCTTCTCCTTTTAGCATTTGTGACTTACTCGCCCTCTCAGCCAAGTTCAATCTTTGCAAATGTGATCAACGATCCAGCAGCGTCTTGATTTTGATGCATTGGTAAGGGATGCACAAATCCCTTACTGCCCTCACTCCTTCGTGATCTTCTACCTCTGCGACCACTTCCAAGTCAACCAGGATTGCGGTTCCTTTCCGTCCAATGGATTTGGTCCCAACCTCTTTCCCTTCAAGTCCAAGCTCCTCAGCTAGACTTTGCTCCATAATTGTAGTCATCATTCAGTATGTTCGTTGTCGCAATTAGGTCTCACAGCGTAACTGGCAACGACTTTAGTGCTCACCTTTGAAACATGGCTTCCAACTTGTTCAAGTTTCTCTTTTGGTTTGGAGTGTGCCATGCATCCGTTAAGCAGTTTACCTTCGAATAACATATATTCAACCAATGGAAACACAGTTTGTTTGATTTAACCAAGCGCTAACGCTAATCCACTACAAGCGCTGCAAACTTCTTACACTTGGCGAGCCTGTGCATCGAATCACAAATCACACACAGGTCCCTCTCCTCGGACTTCCCTTGTTTGACTGATTCCACTTCAGGGGGTGACTTTTGCTTGGGTTTCACTTCTCGATCTTCATCCTCACTAATATCAGCAAGATACCAGGATATGCTCTTTTTTCGAAATTTTTTTGTCTGAAAGTTCCATGTAGCTGATGAGAGTGATATGTGAATGTGAATCAGCTACCAACTGGAACCAACAAACGAAGTCTTTCAACGTGAGTAATGAAGAAAGTGTTGCCCATGAATTGTTCGCTGTCCAACTTCTCAATAATCTCGTTGAGTGTTCAGTTATTCTTATGAAACCATTAATGGAATTCGCGAATTCCAAAAATGACTTCGGTTTGCTATCTTGAGGTGATTAATTCTGAATCTTTTCTCTAAGGGCACATGTATACATGCACTTGGGAACAGAAGATTGTTCACATTGTCCTTTGCGTCACCTTTTAGTCCACAATAGTCAAATTTTCAAATTTTTACCCGTCACCAGCTTACATGCATCCACAATATGTCTGAACCACTCAATGGACCCAGACCACTCTGCTGGATCTACAAAGAAGACAGATATGTCTCTCTTCATGGACTGCCGGTGACTAGATGCATGATGATGCTTAGGCACTCTCACCTCTTGTTGTATTGGTGGTTGGTAAGAAATAGGAGTTGGGACCCAGTCAATTATAAAATAATTTTGTCGTGGATGGGGCATAATTTGGCGTGGTACAAACCCACTCTGTTGTAGCTGATTCGGGAATAACGCAGCCCCACGCTGAATCGAATTACCTCACTTCACTTTACCCAATGGTAGACCAAAGCCTCTTTCAATCTGTTCTGATCCAATCCATCAAGGAGTATTCCATACTTTTCGAGCTGCTCGATTTGCCCCTTAATGATTTCTTCTTGCATTTCAGCCTTTCTTGCTGCAAGTTTAGCCTCGGCATTTCTTGTTTCGAAATCGAACACAAACTGAGCCCTTTGGCTTCCACAACAATTTTTTGTGTACTACCCATCAGTTTATTACTATGACAGATCCACGAGTTTAGTCTGAATAATGAGTTGAAAGTTAAGCATATCTAAATGTGACTTGAAAATAAAATTTCTTTAGCGCCCCGGGGGCACGGCTAAAGGGTGAAATATATCAACCAATTTTTTTTGAGTTACCTACCCAATGGTAGACACAGATCCAAAATGTAGCTTTGGAAAAAAAATTTTTGAGTTCCGGGGGATGGCTCAAACATTTTTTATAACTTTTTTACAAGTATTTAGACTTCTATAACAAATTTAAATCTGAAAATTTGCATAGCAATATATTCATGATCGATCAAAAGAAAAATTATAATGATCGTGTTACTTCCGGCTTTACAGGATGTGGATAGCAACTTTCTTATTTTAAATAGAACACCCTATATTTTATTGCATTTTCGAAATCTATATGAAAATCTACGACGTTTGATACCACATTTGGCTATACTCAGCATCAAAGGTTTTCAAGTTATTCAAGATTTTTCAAAATTTGTAACGTTTGACTGCTTTTCTTTAGGGCCTTATACCTATGGCTCCCTTGACTTAAATTTCAAAAAGTCTTCCAAAATCAATAATACTGACGTGATGCTACATGCGAAACATTAAAATTTTGATCGCCAGTCTACATGGTGTTTTAAAATTAATGGCCAAGTTTAATAACTTCAAACCTTTAAAAGTTGATTTTTTGCCTTATTTTTTTCCGCTTTCAAATGTCAAAAAAAATCAATTATCGCATTCCTTATGTTATGGTTTTCGTTTATTTAAGATTTTCTTAAATTGTGACCGTTATATGCATAATTTTCTTAGGAGGCCTTGAAATAAACGCGTTTATAGATGTCATTGTACCATGCTTTGAAACATTACCTGGTTTCAACTTGACGGAGCGCCGGCTCATTCTATCCATGATGCTTTTATGTCTTTGAACATTTTTGAAGACAAGTGAATTAACCCTACTTATCCTCGCTATTGGTCTTCTAGATCTTCACATATAGTACCACTGGACTTTTATGTGTGGAGTCTTATAAAAAACAAAGTTACACCTTACACCAGTTGTTTCTTGCAAAGAACTGGAAGTTAGGGTGAGAAGAGCCCTTATGAATTGAAAAAACCGGTGGACACGTAGAACAAAATCTCAATTGATTTGTTTTTTATTTTGTCATTTGTTATCGCGCCATGTTTTTGTTTTTTATTTCATCTTTATTTGACTTTGTATTCATTAAAGTAAATAGGATTTTTTCATACTTAGTGATATAAACTACCATTATTAACGAATGGTAACAGTTATAACCATAAAAACATTTTTGTCTGACAGATCTGCTAATTCGTTTTATTTATTTCAAGGCCCCCTAAGAAAATTATGCTAATATAACGGTCCCAATTTTATAAAATCTAAAATAAAACGAAAAGCATAACAGATAGGTATAGGGAATATATTGATAATTGATCGTTTTTTTTCGACATTTGAAAGTGAAAAAAATAAAGGTTTCATTTGAAAAAATCAACTTCTAAGGTTTGAAGTGATTAAATTTGGCCATTAATTTTAAAACACCCTGTAGAAGGGGGATCAAAATTTAAATCATCGTCTGTAGCATCACGTCAATATTGTTGATTTTGGAAGACTTTTTGAAATTCAAGACAACGTCAAAAATTTGGAAAATCTTGAATAACTTGAAAACCTTTGATGCTGGGTATAGGGAAATGTGGTATCAAACGACGCAGATTTTCATGTAGATTAAAAAAAAAATATACGGTGCTATTTAAAATAAGAAAGTTACTATCCACGTCGGACCTCTACAGCGCTTATGTAACCAAGGATCGCACAATCACTAGACCCATATGCGAGCAAGCTAAAGGAAGATAATATAATTCTAAACCTTCAAAGGGCAGTGGGATCCCATGAAATATGCAACGTCATAACGAGAGCTTTTTTTAGTGTAATTAAAAAATGTTAATACATAATCTTTCACAGATGTAATGACAAGCGCACTTAATTGTACCACACATGGATAATAATATTACAATAAATGTGTAATAATAATTATCAAAATTCAAACCTAACGGAACGTAGCTTTCAAACAACAATTTTTGTTAACGTCTACAAATACGTTTTCGGTTTTATACAAATATCTTATATATCGTCTAACAAAAAGGACTCCAACTTCTTATGGACGCAAAGATTCATTCTGCCTTCATTTCCGCTTAAAATTATGAAACATTTAAGTATACGTGCAACAAATGGTATAAAATTGTTTATATAATACACTTTTTAAGCGCTACTTATATTACATTAATGCTACGAAGCCTGCTTACGTTTTTAAGTACAAGTTGTAGAAAATGATATGGAGTTTGTCTCTTCCAAACTCGACTTTGGTACGTTTATGTGTATAAAAGGTTTAAAAAAACGGGAATAAGGAAATTTCTTTGATTGGTTGAGATTCCTCCAGCAACCAACTGGTTCCACTGGGCGCTTTCTTTAAAACGTCAACTAAACATTTGGCAACGTATTCTGGCCTAAAAGTATGCATTAGAGAATAGACACGTGCGGGCCAAAACCATTACTCACTTTAATGAAACCGTATTACCGGTGTCGGTTTGCCATGCGTGTTCATATTCACCACTGAGAAGCCTTTTCCGGGGATCCCCCGATAGAGCGGGTTCGGTCGGTGAGGGGCACACTGAAAAAACGCGCACCCCAGTTAAATTCACGTGGTATTGATCACCATAACACCGTGTCAAGGCGGCAATTGCATGCTTCGTTGCTGTAAAAACCGGAAGCGAAATCATTGGTCTGGCGCTACAACAAGAACCGGCGTTGACAACGACACCTCCACGTCCGCCCCTATCTTTCCCCATGAATCTAAAAGCTAACAGAAGTCCACGAATAACTCCATTCTAAAACGTAAGATTAGAATCATTTTCCAACAGTCCTTTTCTTACCAAGTTGACGTCAACTTCCAATTCCCACAGCCGATCGTTCATAACCGATGCATTATTTATCACAATGTCTATACCACCTAATTTGGTCATCGTCGTATGGAAGGCTTCTGTTAAATTTGCACAAAATATTTATTCGTAAACAAAGGATGCAACAAATTACCTTCGAACTGTGGATAATCCGTAACGTCGCACGGACAGAAAATAACCCGATCCCTTGCGTGTTTGGATAAAGCCCGAAGCAAGTCCTCTCCCGCTTCATTGTTAATATCACAGATAGCAACCTACAAAAATCACACTTAATTAGCCAAAAGGACGTTTTACGTTTCCCAGCCACTGTACCTTACATCCTTGTCTAATGAGCTCCTCGCAGTACGCCCTACCGAAACCCGAAGCACCGCCAGTCACAAGCGCCACTTTATCCTTAAAATCCATCCTACTTCTGTAAACAAATCATATAACAAACAATCGACGCTTACAACCACTGTCGAAATGGGTATTGCAGGTGACGTGACGTCAGCACTAGACGCCGTGCACTGGCGACCGCGCCCTAGCGTCGCGACGTTAAAAGGGTAGTCAATGAAATTGTAGGGGAATGTTTATGCACGTAGACCTATTAGGGAATACCCCTCTATCGTAAAATTTCAATAGCGCGCGATGAACGCATAAAAAATTTATTTTCATTTTACGAGATGCATATACGCCGTTTGCAAGCAGTAGGATAATTGGGTTATTGGAAAATATGCGCGAACTGAAGTGCCACGTGACATTCTTTCGGAGCGTTTAGCTGCAGGCTCCTAGAAAATCGAAGAATACTCGAATTTTCAGGATGTATATCTGTTTCTCTTGTTGGAAGGCCACTTTCCCCGTCCGTTCGCTCGTTCGAGTTCAGTTTTCAATATATTTAGTTCATTCTCTTTGAATTCGTTAGCTTCTAGCTTTGAATCAACTTTCTTATTTATTAATATATTTTGTTGACATTTTAACCACAGATGCTTCTAGTAAAGGCAAACATATCGCATATAATAATAATCAGATGTGCGCATGCGTAGATTGCGCAATTCCTTTCAAGACTGTTATAAATTTATTGTTTACTACCTAATTGTAAATAAATAAACCATGTAACGGAACCTTACACGTATATATTAGTTGTATTGAGTTCTTAGAAAGCCACATCAACGATGGTGTGATCACGTGAACACTGCTTCGATTTGCGGCCTGGGATATACTCCGTTTAGTCCTACAAAAGACAATTCACTTCTTTTTAAAATTGTCTCAAGTAAAACCATTTTCTTCCCGGCTTCGGTTATCCCGGCGATTCTAAACCCGGCGATTGACAATTCCGACAACAGTGTACATCCCCGCTTCAGTTGTTACGGCAATTTGAACTCTGAAATCGGGGGGATAGAAATCATTTAAGACGCGGTAAGCATATTACGTAAATTTATGTTTATTATATTGAAACAATTCACCGGAATGAAGTTTTGTTATTTGGTATTTTATAGACTTGTGATTTTTTCTTTCTAGATATGATGCAATTTGAATATCAGCAAATTGAAATTATGCAATTAGAGGTAGGTAAAGTTTTCTGGTATCTTTGTATAATTTATATGACCCCAAAAAGGACCTTTCAGCTCCAAAAATGACATAAAATCTTTAACACTACCTCATTGGAACTTCTGGCACTTTATAAAGCTCCGAAGAGAACAGTACATATAAATAATGCCAGCAGCATATAATGTAATGCAAAATATCAACGAAACTATGGCATCAAGAGATGATTAATGATTATGCAGTTTATGGTGAAAAGGTCTGTCAAATGTATGGTGCCAGCAGGACAGCCGAGCTGTATCGATCACGAAAAATCACATAGATAACTTAGGGTTGTTACAAATAATGTACATGATTTCCAGTGTACATAAATCAAATTTATTTTATAGCAGATGTTACATTGTCATTTTAATAGGCGTCTTTTTAAGGGGCAAGGGTAGATAAATTGATTACTTTAACGGTAAAGGTAGATAAAGTCAACAAATTATTGTGCATTCCAATGACATATGTCATTCTTATTGAAAATGGGACGCGGAGCACGATATAAAATGAAGTTCAGAAGATAATATAATATTGTTTGTCCTATTCCGGAAGTCGCTCGCATCTTTAGAAAAACATAGATCGTAAATCGACACAAGGTGTGCTGTCACCGGCAATCTTTCCTGGCGAGAGTTATACCTACAAAATTTTCAGAAGTTTTATAATGATTTCTGTGGAATTTGCTATTATACACGACGGGAAAGGGAAACTAACCATCTTAGTTAATTAACTCGATTGTTAAAACATCCCTTTATCAGCTATTTATTTAATATACAAAGAAATGAAAGTTTCACTCAAAAAGTTTCACCACAGGTACTTAGCAATATAAATGGAACCCCTTGTGACACGACAGATGTCAAGCCTGTAATCAAACTTCGCCATAAGAGTGTCTTGATGGAGTGTTTTAATGGTGATAGTAATCCTTTTCTGGATCACAGATATTTTTTCTGATACGAGTGGTGTATACACTTTATCTTTGATGTAGCCCCACATCAAAAAATCACAGGGGGTGATAACTGAAAGTCCTGGAGGCCAGTTCCAGAGAGCGTGATCACTTGGAACTTTACACAGTACCCACTAATATTTTCAATCGAAATCAGGAACGTCACTTGTGATAATCCTGTATATTATTCCAGTTAGAAATGAGCGATTTTGCTACACCTGGAGTGGAGTTTTTATCAAGATAATTCAGAACGCACGATAATCAAGCTTCAAATTATTAACAACCTTTAGCTTCTACTTCATCAATGTCGGACTACTCCACACTAACCCCATCACCATAATCTTCACTTCAACAGTCTTTTGATGTGCCGCAAACCCAATCAAAACAAGCACAACCTCAACACTCGGATCTACAAATATGGTATTAACTTACGGAACTGACTGACTCAAGAAAATAAAACCCCTTTTTAGTCATTGGTGTAGGAATACTGGTAATAAAAATGTTGAAGACAACATAGGCAAATACAGAAAAATATAATAGTAACGTACACTAACGGACCGGAGAGCACAAATTTGAAAAAGACAGTATAGCATAATCAGAATAACTAGCGGAAGCATGAAGTATTCCAGAACTTTACTGTTACAATTCTTACAGTAGATAACATTAGAACACAAATTGTGTGACAGTAGAGGTTGGATGGAAGTTGAGAACAAAATGAAGGAATATGGCATGAGTATGTTGTATAATGAATCCGAAAGGTACAACGCTTGTATGGCTTCTTATCTTTAATAATTTATAATTTGTGCACCACAAATCAATTGGAAATATTCTTGATAAGTTTGAAAATCGAATTTCACTTCAAAATTTTCGGGCTCATACTAAATTGCGCGTGTTTTGTTGCATTTGCCCAATATATATCTTGTATACCTACCCCCTGTATGACCTTTATTACAGATAAGTTATCACCAAAGATGATAACTGAAAATAGGACAAACTTCTAGCACTTCGGTCAGTGAGTAAAGTGCGGAAGATGTTCGAGTTGGAAGGAAAAGTTGCGTTAATAACCGGAGGGGCGTCGGGGATCGGCTTGGCCACCGTTAAGGAGTTACTGTTAAATGGCCTAAAGGTTAGTAAAACCCGATGTTAATTAGTCTACTCCCGATTAGGCAATTTCAGTGGTGGATTTTAACGAAAGCGCCGGTCAGAAGGTGGTCGAGGATGTTAACAAGGAGTATGGAGCTAACACAGCCATCTTCGTTAAAGTGGATGTTGGAAATGCGGCTGAATTTAGAGGTGAGAGGCACTCTTTGTTTTGCATCGTTACTGACGTAATTTGTGTCTAGGTGCCTTCGAGGCTACTATCAAGAAGTTTAACAATTTGGATATCGTAATTAATAACGCTGGGATACTAAACGAAATCGATTGGGAAAAAATGATTAAGACGAACGTTGTAAGTTATTTTTGTACCTATGTCACATTCTGTTTGGGCTGTATTCATGTCATAAATGAGGGTGGAATGCGCACCAAAGTCTAAACGTCCCCCGATTTTGTAACTACGTGTTCGACTACATACTTTATTCTCTCAATAATAACTTAAAAATGTCAATAAATTTGGGCTGGTTAGCAAACTTATATAATTGTTTCTCACCAAAAAGAATTGGTTATCGAGTTATAGATAATATTTTTGTAGGGGTCATTTTTTTACGTGTCGGATGATCTTGAGCACATATAATTTACTTGGTGGTTAAATCTAAGTGAATTTCCAATAATTTTCAAAATGGTAGCTGCATGAAACTCTTGTTGTTAGGTGAATATACTGGTTGTAGGACAATTCGCACCCGAATAATTCGCTCTCGGACATTTCGCACCCGGACGTTTCGCTCCCGGACAATTCGCACCCGGAAACCATCTGCACTTCCAAAATCAGTGCTCGGTTTAGCTAATCTTACCTTGTCATCGTTGACCCAGATCCTGGCATTGCATGTTAAACTAAGAGCCGATGGATCCTTCTTTGCTCTTCTCGCTCGACACAGCCATGATGAGAAGTTTTGGAGTTTAAAGTTCTTAGCAAAGAGGTACATGTATCCTTCATAGATTATGTATCTCTTTCCCCTTTTCGTTGTACCGAACTCCATTGCTACGCGCCCCGTATAGTTTGCACCGCCTAAATCTCATGTCCATTATCAACTTTTTGTAATAAATCAAATTTCAAGTCCATTTTTGATGATATTTTCCTTGATTTTGGCATTTTAATGTGGCACTTAAATATTTATGTTGGTTAAACAATAACCATACAATTTGTAGAGGAATAATTTTTTTTAATAGTATTTATGAGGCAAGAATTCATACGTACAATCCTATGTACCTTTTTAAATGGAGTGGACCATATCAAAGCAGTAGAGATTTTAGGTCACTTTAATAGCATCCATATCATTCAAAATCTGGAATTTAGTACTTATTTTATTGTAATCTCCGTATTAAACATGAGAACACTTGCTGAAGGTACCTACCATGAACGAAAATTTATTAAAAAAAAAAACAAAAAAAAAGGCAAAAAGACACTCATCCGTGATGTAAATTGTCCATGCACTCATGTTCACAAGTAGACGGATGATGCTAAACGCTGGTATCGGTCTATCAGCAAAACTGTCACCTGACATTTCTTAAACCTATTTACCCAGTTTTATTGTACCAATTCACAATCAAGGTTTTTTTCATTTGGAAACCTTTTAGCACGTACAAATAATATTGCAATAGGAATATAAAAGTTTAAATAAAATTTTAACAATTATTACCTATTTGTTAATAGCTGCAAGTTAAGTTTCCCAAGTTCTCTAACCTTCGATGTCGTCAATTTAAAGGACACATAACGAAATACGTATGTATTGTCTTAAAAGAATCTCAAGTAAATTATAATCATATTTGAACGTAAAACAAATAGATTCTTGAGAGTTTCCGTAAAATTAAAGAGATAAGAACTGTAAAGTAACGAAAAAAGCAAAAAATGTTGATAAATATCGTGAAAAAAATTGATCTTGCTATAAATTATATGGCTATTATTTAAATAATATACTGAAATTGTGAAGATCCATGACTCTCAATGGGGTGCTTAAGAAGCTTCGGAGAAATAACACCAAAATCTACCCATTTATTATTATAACAATTTTTATGGGAAGATTTTGGTGTTATTTCTCCGAAGCTAAATAATATACGGTGGTGCATTAGAAACCATACATAGCTATTTCTGTAAATTAAAATAATTTTCAAAAAAACGCTTTGGCACGTCAAATTGATCATGGAAGGAAACAGTGTCTAAAATAAAACTTGCTCACTAATGTCTTTGTCTCGCATCGCTGACAGTGCATCAACATCTCTGAATTCGGATATGTAATTTTTTTGGTTTAGTTGTTTCATTCCCAGCGCATTGGACGTTGCAGGTACAAGTTTTCTCTTTTTTATACCACTTGCAACTGCATAATTTTGACGCACGATTGCATTAGCTTCTATATTACATAGTGATCGGCCGGACAGCCTTCCAATGACATAAACAACAGCGCGCCCTCAACTTACTTTTAAAATATTTCGAAAATATCAAATCTAAAAAATTATAGTCTCACCAAATTCAGAGAAGGAAAGCCTTTCCAATGATGTCCTATCTTCCTTGTTGCGCAATTACCAATGCTGAGGGTTTTGCTTTAGTACCAGGTATGCCATACAAAAATTAAAAAGGAAGTATATAGGTACTTAATAATTACAAACATTTAAAAGAATAAATCATCAATATCGACCTGTTCCTAAAACGTTTCAAGATTTTTAGAAGCTTTACTGTTTTGATTATTAACAATCTCTTAAAAAATTGCCAGAATTTTTCCATGTATCTCTTCAAACTATAAAATAAATAAGAGTAAGAAAATCAAAAAGAAACTTTTAAGTTTATTCACTACCATAGCAAAGATAACGCAAAAAAATAAGCAGTTAGTGTAATTTTACTCAGTCACCAATAATCAACATATAGCCATATGTGGTCAAAGAAACGTAAAACTGGTTCTAAGAAAACTGGAAACTTACCTTTTCTGAACACCAACACAACACTACCACCAGAAATAACTTTTTTTAAAATTAAAAAAAAAGTATACACAAAATCAAAACCCGTGCTCAGATAAATTTCAAAATACCACTCTGTCAAACGTTCAAGAATGAAGATACTATACAGGTGTTAAAGTTCTAATTAGTTGTGTTTATACGTACTTAAACCTGATTTTTCGTACCTAATTACTTTTACCTTGTAATAAACCCTATTCATCTTCCAGAAATAATAGAAAGGATGTCATTACGATATTTCTCTTATTGTTTTTTTATGAAGTGCAATTTGTGTTATCGGGGTCTTTTCAAATTTACCTTTAATTATAATATTATCCTAATTACTTATCCAAATTTAGTGCCATCTATGAAATGCATTGTTCTATTGTCATTTATACATACTCGTTTTGTCTAAAATAAATTTAATTCATTTCCTTTGTCACCCTTTTCAACTAAAGAAATAAAGAACAATTTTTTATGTGTCTTCATTAAGAAATCTTTATGTAAGGGAGCGTTAAACTGACTTCCTTTTTCTATCTTCATCTTGATCTTATAATGTAAATATTTTTAACTTTAGACTTATCACTTTGTTTGTGTACGGTATTATATGTTGATTCTGTTTTAATATTAAGAGCGTCTCAAAAGTAGCGAATACTACACATAATATTGTAGATATACTATAACTAGGTATAACTATTTGGTATTTAATTACTCCACAAAAGACGTTTCAGTTACCTATTCTTATTTTCTCAAAACAAAAGCGCAGTAGATGAAAATTATGTGTTTTTAAATTACAGGATTTAACTATATCAGACTCTTCATACAACTTAAAAAAAAACCAGCGCGATTATATTTAAGAAATGGAAATACTCGTACTTAAGAATCGCGATGTGTTGAAAATGAAAGACCAAATATCTATTATTAATCTTCTAGTAGTCTCTTAAAAATATTTAATTTCAATAAACCAAAGATTTACAGAATTAACCGGGTGTGAATTATTTGGGAGCGAATTTTTCGAGTGCGATTTGTCCGAGTGCGAATTATCCAGGAGCGGAATGTCCAAGGTGTGAAATGTCCGAGTGCGAATTATCCGGGAGCGAAATGTCCGGGTGCGAATTATCCGGGAGCGAATTTTTCGAGTGCGAATGGTCCGGGTGCGAATTATCCGGGAGCGAAATGTCCAGCGAATAGCCTGGGAGCGTAATATCCGGGTGCGAATTGTCCGAGCGCGAATTGTCCGCACGCGGAACACACATTTGAAGAAAGAAAACTAACACAATAATAACAAAACCTGTGAGGCTAACAGTCCCTTTTTAAACCGTACACCCAGTTTGCAAAACGGAAAAATCGACTAAACAGTTATCCGGCCTGAACAATGGGAACGCGGTTTTACACTTTACACAGAGTAGCGACAGATTCAAAAACTCCCATTTGTTTAACACATAACTTTGATAATCCAATAATTTGTTTGACTGGGTGAACAAACAATTATCAAGATTGATTTAGTGATAAAATTTTAACAACATTTTATAACTGATAATACGTTGACATTTACAATCGACCTAAAAACAGCCTCGTTTATTTTTCATTTTTGTAAAGTAGAGACCACCTTCATTCTTCAATTCCATATCCTAGTTTCCCGGTGATACACGAAACACTGCTCCGTCGCCCGTATTTTTATCTCGCACATTGTATTGTTATCACAGAACCAATAAGCTTTATCGATTAAATTCTATTTTTTTCACATTAAAGTTTCAATTACACGTTCCCCTATTTAGCCGCTTTAGACAACGTACTATTGCATTAAATTAATAATTACACAATTGCTAACTAATTTTATACAATAAATAACCAGGTCCTCTGAAACTGATTTTACTACGATGTCCCGACTGCTATTGTTAATACTTAAACCGAACTTACGTTATCAACACGTAAAATTTTCACTACAGGGTGGCTCGCTCTTATCTTCGGCATTGTTTCAACCTAGAGAAATGACACACCACATCACAATATTAAAATTCCACATGTTTTAGTGCCGTTGAACTCATAAGGTGCAAGAATTGTTATATGATTTGAACACCTTTATTCCGGGGTCCTATTTTGGTTGAGATCTGACTACCCATGTAAGATAGAAAAAAAGGAAAAAGCTACCTATCTTAGATATTTTTATGTACAATCCATCATTTTTGAGATTTGACCCAAAATTGGTATTTTAGAAGACAACGCCCTGTATATCTTCACGTCAATTTTTTGAATTTTTTTTTTGCTGAAGTTGATTGCATAAAGAAACACGGAACTTTTACAGAAAATGACAAACTTATATAATTAATTAAAAGTGATAGTTCGGACAACAAACTATTTAACAACCACGTTGCCTACGTTACAAAACCAAATATGGATGCGTTCTTAATTACTTTTTTGGCGTAACACAATGAAGTAGCGGTAACGCTTATATGCTCAATTTTCCGTCGTCCGTCTGTCTGTCGTCTGTTCCTTCGAGATCTCGGCCTCTTGGTGACCTAGAGATTTCGGGTTTTCGCTAATCGATAGCTGCTATGGTCTATATTGACCCGTTACTCATCATTAACAGGCGCCCCATTGTGTTGAAAAAATATTTCATTTCTCCGTGACAAAGGTACATCTTCCAGCAACTCAGGAAATCCGTTTTGCAATATTTCAAGATATCGGAGGACAGTTAAGCCATCGTAAAAAATAACGTATATTATTTGAGTGCAAGAAAGACTCGTTCGAAAATTAAATGCTGATTTTCTTGATACCAGAATTTTGTATTCGGTCCATAAGTGTTTACATGGGTTTCGTCAGATCATACTACTTTCCTTGCAAAATTTTTATTTTGACAAGGTTCTGACTTTTGGTTTCTGTAAATACCTACTCAATGGGTTCTTTTAATGGCACTTGACATTATATACAGGTAGGAAAGTCACCCATACTAGCCGGGAAAGTTTCGCGATTGCTTAGGGAAATTCATATATGACTACCTGATTGTGAGTAAAATAAATTTCATTAACAAACGCAGGAATAATCAAAGAGAAAGACTGACCCTCCCTTGCACTTTTGGTAGCTAGTCACCGATAGTATCGGTTAGTCTTGGATATGATTCGTAGGTCTTTGTAATGTGTAACCAAATTGCACCGACTTTCCTTTGTTGTAGAATGGAACAATACACGGGACATTATTGGCCGTAGAGTACCTAAACAAGCATAGAAGTACAAGTGAAGCTGCCCTGATCAACATAGCTTCACTTGTGGGTGTAGATATACAAGGTTTTGTGCCGTTTTACACTGCGTCAAAGCACGCTATTGTCGGACTTAGCCGTTCTTTTGCTTACGACGCTCGCCGCCATAATTCTCCAGTAAAGGTCATCACCATTTGCCCCGGAGGAACCGAAACACCAATACTGCTGGAGGGAGCCGAGAGGAGACTTCTCATGGAACAGCATAAGGCCCTTTCGTATTTATTAAATACTTACGGATTGCAATCGTAAGGATGTTGTTGGTTATTCATAGCGTCGCGTACTTTCTTTTGTAATTTTAGGCCAAATGATGTTGCGAAAGCGATCACTACGGTTATTAAAAATGGGCAAAATGGTTCTATTTGGGTGGCCGAGGATGGCAAGGACGCTTATCAAATTCAAATGCCAAATTACACAGACTTAAGAATCGCGTAATGTTTTATGTTACTCAGAATTATTCTGATAGAATAAAACTATAAACTGTTTCTTATTGCACATCCTTGATTTATTTATATGAAGTAATTAATAATGTTCACAAGAAGAAACACTATTAACGATGAACTAAATTTATAAAGGTCCTTAAATAGATTGCTTTATAACAATTCGATATTTATCACTTTTATAACACAAGCACGGATTTCACTCTTTATCACGTCGGCATCGATGTTAAGACTAAGATTAAATACAATTCAAGTTGTTTATATAGCAAACAAAAAGCTTCTAGAGAAATTTCGAATTAGGATAGCATATTTCATAGAAAAAATGAGTCACAATTTATTATTGGTATTTCCATAATTGGGAACCCGATGCCTTGTAACTGTAGCTACAACTGTTGGAAATAACTTCGGGTTCGTGGTTCTATTGATAAGATTATTCGTGTTCTTCTTTCTTCGGTTTAGTACGTTCGGACTTACCTTTCGTACTTGTACTCTCCATGTTATCTTATAGCTTAAAATGGTTCAAGAATAAGGAAGTGATAATCGCATTAATAGTAACATTATAAAATACTTTGTACCTTTATTCATTGCGTTGTCTTTGCAGCTGGATGCCAATTGCGTGGAAACTAACGCCTTCAAGGTTTGAGGTACTTCCCGTTTTCTTCTTTCCGAAATCAATCTCACGTAGATGGAATACGAACATCAAGAAAGCTCACCAAATAGTTTCGATTCTCGTCTCGATTACCCAATCTTCATTTACGAACAAACGCAGGCGGAAAAATACAAACGCGGTAATTTATAGAACAAAACGCGGCCTTAAATGTCCATTTACCAATGGAAAATTCCCATCTTTTGGTGAAAAACCCAAAAACCCTTAAGGTACCAAATTGCTTTTGCTGATTGATGATAACCTCTCTAAAGAGGATCTGTTTACCCACACATTTGCAGAACAAGTTTCTAAATCTGCGTCCTCACCAAGTCAACACCGTCTATCGACATTCACTGTAGATGTTAGGAATTGGGATAATAAGTCTTCGAGCTCTTCTTTACTTTCCAAGGTGTCCATCTATCGTTAACTGTATCACAATAAACGTGACCTAAGTGTACAAGTCCGCTAACCGACATTTTATTATAGAACGGAACCGTAAACGGATGTTTATTGGCCCTTGAGTTCTTACAAAGACACAGGAGTACCAACGAGGGTGTGATCGTAAACATTGCCTCAATTTCCGGCCTGGAAACGTACGGACATACTCCGATTTACAACGCAACGAAGCACGCAGTTGTCGGGCTTAGCCGTTCACTGGGTCTTCACGGACACTACGACCGTACAGCAGTAAAAATTTTAACCGTTTGTCCCGGATGTACTCAAACGCAGCTTTTGATGGGGAGTATGGAAGGCCGCCTTACCCAAAAACAGTTAGAATTGGGCGCAGAGGTTATGAAGGGCTACGAATTACAACCGTAAGGATGTCAGTAGATTAATTATTAGCATTTCTTAAATTTATTTTGATAGGATTAAGCACGTTGCAAAGGAGATCATACCAATTATCAGAAGTGGGCGAAGTGGATCGGTTTGGGTTGTTGAATATGAAGCCGCTTATCAAGTTGAAATGCCTCATTACAGTGAAAGGCGTTTAGCTCCTTAATCAAAATGAACTATGGCTACACTCTTCTTATCAACAAAGTTATAAATAAAAGTATAAGGAAATGGTTTTTTTTATTGCAAAAGACAAAGTTAATATCCATCTCAAAGTTTCCTAAGTATAAGTTTGAGCTCTAGTAAGTTGTACTCCTGAAAAGGGGAAAGATTTCTGGTTGTTATTGTTCGGCCAAACTTCAACTTAGTAAAAAAGTACTTTTTTCAAACCTTGGTTTCGGAGAATGAAGTAACAGTAGATCCCGATAAAATTCTTGCAGAACAATAATGGCCTCAGCCAAAAGCTAAACACGAAATACGGAGTGTCCTGGGCCTGTTCATGTACTACCAGCAACTCGTTCGTAAACTTGGCAGATGTTTCTTGTAAGGACCGACCGTGCCGCATTGTGATGGTTATTGCAATTTAAGTGGGCCGTAGGACGAAACCATCATAATGCCGATGTCTTATTCAGAAGACCATGTCTCGAGGACTTTCGAGACTGATCACAATTGGACCACTATCAGGCACATACGACGCAATAAACTTGTGGATGAAAATTGGGTACCTCACGAGCTTCTTTTTCTTTGCTTATCTTTCCTTGTATAAAACTGGGATGACACCAATGAAAAACTGATTTATGGAATATGAAAGTTACTTCATTTACAAAATTATTAATCTAAAAATTGACACCCGCAACGAATCCTAAATTAATGAATCCCCTAATTCAATAGTGATCGATTACATTACTTTACTAATTCGCAACAATTCCCAACAAACAAATTATGTTTACTTTACAAGAAAAAAATTGAGGTTGGCATGACCCTTGGAGAGGAATTATACTTATTATAATTGACCCATTGACCTAGTTCATTGTGTTCATTTCAAACGTGGTTATAACAGATTAGCTGAGTTTACAGGTTGACCTTGCATTCGCCTTACGAATTTCACAAAAAATGTGACGTTGATAAGAAACGGATGATGATAAAACCTGTAATTAGCGTGGAACTAAAGTCGTAATTAGCGTGGAACTAAAGTCTAAAACTTGACGTAACATCCCATACCACATAATGCATGGCCTGAAGAAACGCCACCACTGACTACGCGAGGTTGCCTCCTATTCCGCAGTGCGCTGGCCCTCAGATCAAGCTTACCCTATTAGACTCACTTAATCTATCTAGAGTTCACCTGAAATCAAGTGCCGTTACCGATCGAAACCTCTGACAAAGCCCTCGGTGTCGCCTGACTACCATTGCATATGTATGTACAGGCACGCAAAAATGATTGCGGGTCTGCCTTATAAATAAGCGACAAGGAAACTCAATAAACATTATATCAGTATAAAGTGAGATAGAATACACAACAAACTAAAAGATCTGATGCCATTTATGCGTCTTTTGAGTAGGCTATACTCCATTCATTAGAAGAAGGTAGTAGATGGCGCTGCGTTTGAAGATAAGTACACACAGGAAAAATATACAACGGCACCAAATTATTGTAAAATAGAAATATGCAGCACTGCGAACAGAACGATTTCGCTTGAGCATTTGACATTAACAACTGATAGATACCTGCTCGATAGTTTAGCTCGTAACAAGAACTACCAGCTTACAAAATTCGTCATTCTCTTTATTTTTCAGTGTAACACTGACTCGTATTTTAACCAATTAGAGCGAAGGTCAACGCTTTCTAATGTATTCTACCGCTACCATCTTAAAATGAATAGAGTAGGTATAGGGTTAATGATACAATTAATTGCTACTGTATCTCCTACACTCATATAATGCTTATTGTGATTTCTTTCTAGCTTATTATGATAGCCTCTACGGAGGTTTTCCTGTGTACAGGTCAAGAGGACTACTTTCTTTGCCTGAAACACGCTGCCAAACTGATTTCAGCTCTTGGGCGATCACCATAAATCCCCACACGGACCCCTCAGGTTTGAGGAGCGGCAACTGCTCTCTGTTCGGGAGAGTGACTTTATAACCCTTTGGTGTTAGTAAGACCTCCATACGAGGAGGGGATCGAATGTGAGTGTTTCGTACCATTTCCGTCCGTACCTACCCAAGATTGCCTCGATGCATCCAAATGGACAACACTATAACCTGCGGACATCCTCTAGTCGTCGCGGTTGAGGATATAATGACCCTGCTTCCGGGCATGGTGCGGAACCATCTAATGGAATCAAACATGCTCCCAGGGCTGCCTCAGAAGCAGACATTCCGCTCTCCAACCTGAACACGAGGCTGTAAAAAGCCGTCTCCGTGAACACCACCCTTTTAAACCTTTTAAATTGGATGTAGTGGTCTAAGGGCTAGTACCCCATTCCTTATGTACGCATCTACAAGCTTCTCCGCGGTTTATAGAAGAAACAATTGGTCCTGTAATCATTCCATGTCATATTTGCCTTAGGTAGGTTCACAATTCTTACCTGTCTCTAGCTTTCGGGAATATACTATAAAGCCAGGGAGGCTCTAAAGAGGTGCAAGGGTGCAACACATGCAATAGCAGCGATTCCAGGCCCTTCTCCAGAAGAGACCGGGATGATCCGTCCGATCCTGCACTCTTAAATGAGTTGAAAGTGTTAACTGCCTATCTCAGAGATCCCTCGGTAACCCCCCGGGCAGCTAGTTTTCTGTCAATCTACCTTATAGCGACCCGGAAGCCTGGAAAGTGTATTTCCAGGAGACATGTGAGAGGCTCATCCGCGGTGGACGTATGTCTGCCGCATGGAAGCCTTAGTGTCCCCACCCTTGGGTTCTTCAAAAAGAAGGTTTTTGAATCAGGAAGACCCTCTGTTACCACAGAAGGCACACCATGATCCTCGTTTAGGTCTCCGACTATGCTCTTTATACCAGCACTGAGCAATCATGAGATCTTCTCAGTCCGTAAGCATCTTAGTTCGCATGGCCCTGTTAAAGAGCTTGCGGGCCCCCTTGCGAACCTTTGCAAGGTCTTGTGGGTTCCACCAAGATATTCTCTTCGTTCGTTCGAAAGGTCAGCAGTTTACAGCTGTCCTCATATGACGCTTACGAATGCGGCCGCCTCTTCCACCTGTCTTGTGATTTGATCATTTTTTGCCATTTCCACTTAAATATAGGGGTTTCCGGGAGATAACAAAATTCATATCTCTAGAACGGGGGGGCCGATTGGGTCCAAATTAGGTCAATCGGTGGGGCACGTCGGACGCGTCTGATGTATAAATTTCAACACAATCGACCCAGCAGTTTTCGAGTAATCGCAAAAAAAATTTAGCCAAAAAATCGCTTTGCTCCCTCCACAGGTCATATTTTTCGACCGGTTCGAACCGAACGAATGCTTTTCTTTCGCAAATGGATTCCTATTGGTGCCGTGTGTTTTCAATTTTCGATATACATAGTTAATATTTGTTTCGGACAAAATTTAAAAGTTAATTTGCTTTTCGAACAAAAATTATTATCTTCGTAACCAGGAGAGATACGTTGCCGATATTAGATCAACTTATGGAGTACGTCGCGGGCATCTGTCGTATAATTTTCATCAGAATCGGATAATAATACAGTTAAATTATATTTTTACCAGGAAAGTAGTGGGGTAGTTTTGATTTCTTTGATTCTATATGTTTTTTGGGGTGCTGAATCCGAATCTGAGGTTTGCCAACAATATTTCATGACGCAACATTGAAAAAATACAAAAGAAGTTGAAAAAGATATTTTTTGGCAGTTTTGTGCTTACAACTTGAAAGCCATCAACTTTTCGAAAATAACCTTCTTATTAAAAATGAAAGTACATAAAATTTCCTACAGATTCCACTATTTAGTTTTTTTCCTCGATAAACCGTTCGGGTTCAAGCGCCAGTTGAAAATTGGCGTATTTCGGCTGCCTCCACAAAATATAGTTTTTTCGCACTAAAACCCTAAATTAATATTAAGGGTCGTCAATAAGTGAATTCCTTGCATTTACCTACTATTATTTGAACTTTATATGTAAGGGTGATTTTTTTCATTTTCATAACGTTCAAGGTGTTTATTGTAGCCCAGAATTGTATGAAAAGTTAATTTCTAAAGAAAAACGGTATATCATATTATTATATAATTTATAATAAGTATATAATACTTATACTGTGCTATCTAAAACTATTCCCACTCTCTTCCGAACAAGATAAACAAATTACAAGACCCTACCGTAGCATGATTCAATAATTATTGTTGAATTTGGAAAAGTTGCGCTGTGGTCATTATTAAATCAAAAAATTCAAATGGCAAAAAGGGTATATTGATTTCCTATTCAACGGCATTATCCCTCTTGCCCCGGTGTTCTGAAGAATCACGTACGCTTTGAGTTTTATAGAATGTTTGTTCTATCAATGTTTAGGTCTTTTAAATACACTATCCAAGATTGTGAGCCGATGTCGTTTAGAAGGTCTCTGAAGGAGTGGGAGAGTTTTATACCAGACGGAACAGTTATAAAATCTTTTGAATAGGAGGGTTATTTTCGAAAAGTTGATAGTTTTCAAGTTGTAAGCACAAAACTGCCAAAAAATATCTTTTTCAACTTCTTTTGTATTTCTTTCAATGTTGCGTCATGAAATTTTGTTGGCAAACTTCAGATTTGGATTCAGCACCCCAAAAAACATATAGAATCAAAGAAATCAAAACTACCCCACAACTTTCCCGCTAGATGCCCGTTTGAGCACAAATGGCCTGTATTATAAGTACTTTTTGAGTTATGACGAAACAAATATTATTAAAAAAAAATAAAATCTTGAGTTGGCAAATCGCAAATGATCAAATTGGTTTAATAAATATGTTATAAAATTTTTATTAAGCGGCACCTCAAAGCCATGGAAGCTTTATAGGGAAGTTTATGGTGTCCGTCTGTCCGTCCGTGAACACGATAATTGGCAACCGCTTGGATCGATTTGGTTCAAACTTTGCACACTTGACTCATATGCCACGTGCAAGAAACCTATTGAAAATTGATCAAATTCAATGACCCCGTAGGGTCATACCTAGGTCACGCCCTGTCGCTTTTTTTTAGATCCGCTTTAGATGTTTATTAAGCGGCAGAGCAAAGCGATGCCAGCTTTATAGGGT